CCTCCCCCCTGCCTGCTTTGCCTTCCTGCCTTCACTTCCCCGGTGCGGAGCAGGAGCAGCAGCAGCCCGCCCGGCTCTCCGCACCATCTGCCGGCGCGCCCGCCCAACTCCGGGGAGCTCTTCCAAGTGGGCCGTGACGCAAGGGAAGTGGGCGGGGACCGCGCGGAGCCCCGCCCCCTCGCTCCTTGGCGGCCGCGGCCTCATTCAGGAGCTGGCGGCGGGAGGGGAGGCCCGGCCGAGTAGTCTCCGGGCCGTTCCACTCGATGGGCAGGGGGGTTCGGGAGAGGAGCGCTCTGAGCGCCCTCAAGCCCCGGTCGAAGGCCAGCCAACTGCGGGAGAAGGGGGCAAGGCACTTGCAAGGGAGGGGGTCGCAAAAGTATCGGTTCTCTCCCCCCTCTGTGGTTCCAGTGGATAGAGCATTCCCTCCCTTCCACACACCCCCCCCATGCACCGGGCGGCTGCTGCGTTTTAGCTCTAGGTTTTTGCGGGGAGACAGGTGCAGAGCGTGGCAACCAAGGGGTTAAGCCACGGGGATTCGAACCCACGACTCTGCTGCTTTCTGCTGAGTCAGATCTCTGGTCGCTCAAGGTCGGGACTGTCTGCTCTGGCTGGCGCTCCAGGATTTCCTTTTATTTGCATTGCCTGCTTTCTGCCTGGTCCCTTTAACTGGAGAGTCCAGGGAGCCAACCTGGAACTGTGGCCATGCAGAACCGTAGAGAAGAAGAAGAGGTTGGATTTATACCCCGCCCTTCTCTACCCGAAGGAGTCTCAGAGCAGCTTACACTCTCCAGTCCCACGACAGACACTCTGTGAGGTAGGTGGGGCTGAGAGAGCTTGTGACTGACCCAAGGTCACACCAGCGGCTGTGTGTAGGGGAGATAGGAATCAAACCCAGTTCTCCCAGATTAGAGTCCACACTCGGTCCTAACCACTACACCATACTGGCTCTCAGAGCTGGAAAGGAGCCCAAGGGTCATCTAGATCAACTCCTTGCATAATGCAGGAAATCTACAGCTACCTCCCGTCCAATGTACCCTCTAAGCTGTGGAGGCTTGTGAGCAAAAATTCTACTTTGTGAGCTACTGGCATTAAAGTTGTGAGCGAGTGATTTGGCTACTGCATGAATTAGTTTGCTCTGGAGCCATCCTGCCTGAGCTAAGGCAAAACTGTGTGAGCCGAAGGCTAAAAAGCTGTGAGCTAGCTCACACTAACTCAGCTTAGAGGGAACACTCCGTCCTAACCACTACACCAAACTGGCTCTCAGAGCTGGAATGGAGCCCAAAGGTCATCTAGATCAACTCCTTGCATAATGCAGGAAATTCACAGCTACCTCCCGTCCAATGTACCCTCTAAGCTGTGGAGTTTTGTGAGCAAAAATTCTACTTTGTGAGCTACTGGCATTAAAGTTGTGAGCGAGTGATTTGCCTGCTGCATAAATTAGCTTGTTCTGGAGCCATGTTTCCTGAGCTAAGACAAAAATGTGAGAGCCAGAGGCTAAATAGCTGAGCTAGCTCACACTAACTCAGCTTAGAGGGAACAGTGCTCCCGTCCCATCCCCCGCCCCCTGCTCTATGCTCAAAGGAAGGCCAAAACCACCAGGATCTCTAGGCCACAAGAGCTGAGCTGTGGCTCATCCCTTTCTGCCCTCCCTCTTCCAGTCTGCCCAAATGATCACATCACCTACCTACTGCCTGGTCCTCTTGAGCTGGAGATGCCAGAGATTGAACACGGGACCTTCTAGACATAAAGCAGAGGCTCTGCCACTGAGCCACAGCCCCTTCCTCCCAATGCTTCGGCTCACTGACCCCACAGCCCCTCTCCAGAAAGAAATCTAGGGGTGAAGTGGCCTTCCATTCAGACCATTCGTCTGTCAAAGCTCTGAACTGGCAACTGTGACTGGCCGCAGGGCTCCAAGGTCTCTCACCTTACCTACTACTTTTGATTGGTGATGTCGGGGATTGAACCTGGGACTTTCTGCGTGCAAAGCAGGTGTTCTACCACTGGGCCATGGCCCCTTTCCAGACCAAATGGACGGGTGGGCAGGGTACAAATGGAATAAGCAAGTTTGGACTGATGGTTAAAGCAAACCCTTGGATTCCATTCTTCCCCCCCCCCCCCCATTTTATTTATGGTCTGAGTTGTAGCTCCTCCGTCCAGCTGTCTGGTGGTGATTCTGACATGCCTCAGACACCAGGACGAGGCAGAACATTTAATAATGAGGCCGTATTCCTTGATTGGCATTACACATCGATTTAAATACAAAAACTGATTGGTGCGCCCCAAGTGAAAACGCCCTCTGTATTTATTCAGCACGGCACTCGAAGCAGAGTGTCTCCTTGCTGATAATAACAATTGCACGAGAGCGATGGGACGCATTGAAATAACTCCTCATTTGCACTGCATTCTTGAATCGCTCGGGATAATAAAAAATGAGCTGCAGGGAAACTGGAATTGAGTTACCAAGTGCTCTGCCGGCAGACGGTCGGGCCAACACATATTAAGTAGTGGTAGTTCGGCAAGCTCGAAAGTACCACAGCTGTCTTCCAGCAGGAAGATGACAAAAAGCACAACATGTTGCTGTTCACACACACACAGAGACAGACAGATCTTTCGTAAGGCAGAGGCTTAGATAGCAAGCGATTCACAGGGTGGTTCAGCATCCACATGCTCGGTTAGTGTGTGACTCCAGTGGTGCAATCGGCCTGCACCATCTGGCCCTCCTGGTGGCAGATTTATGGCTTGAGGTTGCCATCTGCAGAATATGGGCCCTGCTGCAAGAGCAGGTATTTGCAGAGATCTCAGAGAGAGAGAGACTAACCACATGGCAGGGCCTTCGGCTGCTTTCTGTGTATTTTAAGAAGCACATGAAACTCCTTGTGCCGGATGACTCATCCTGCATTGGCTCCATTAGTGCACTGGAACATAAAAGCCTGCATATGTTCAAGAGGGATATCCCGGGGGGGGTGGGGAGAGATGGGGGCTCCATTTGCTGCTTTCCTGCAAGAAGTTCTGCAAAAGCCTCTCCTGCCAGCTCCTCTTCGCTGCTCCATGTATTAACAACAGCAATACATGTTTTACCCTGCCCTTCCCCCAAGGAGCTTCGGCTGGCATACATGGTTCCACTCTCTCTGTTTCATCCTTACAACAAACCTATGAGGTAGGTCAGGGCCAAATGTGTGTGTCCCAAGCTCCCTCAGTGAGCTTTGGGGCAGACCTGTGATTCGAACACAGGTCTCCTCTGTTAGATCGCGCTAACAAAGGACTCGTACAGTGATTCAGCAAGTGATTCAGCTTTATTCCCCCCCCCCCCCCAAGTACAATGCTAACTAATGTCATGAAGCAAAGTTATATGTGAGGCAGGAAACCTGAGCTTGGAATCCTATGCTTGTTTTTTGTTTTGTTTTTACTTCAGAGGAGTGGGACAAAGGAGTGGATTGAAGCAGTAAGAATGTAGCCAGTGGTCCATCTAATCCAGCATCCTGTGGGCTGCCAAAGGAGGCAGAGTCTGCCGCAAAATGGCCGCCACAGGAGGCAGAGCCAGTCACAAAATGGCTGCCACAGCTTACCTTCAGTCACACACAATGAAGATCCTTGTGCTGTGATCATAGCTGCTGCCAAAGGAACATTTTAAAAAATCCTCACGGCTACCCAGAAGCCTTGCTGGGCAAAAGCCCCACCTGACTTCACCCACTTTCTAAAAACACTTGGTCGGTGCCAGAAATTGTGTCAGAGGGTACCTAGGTGTACCACCTCAGTGCAATGAAGGTCTTTGAGGAGGTGGAAGGGGGGGGCAATGGGCTAATCGCCCCTATCCTGAAAGCGGGACCCCATGAAGCTTCCTTCCACACCACTTTCGCCAGTGGGGGGGAAGCTGCAGTAGAACAAAACTGATGCTCCCAGGTTGGGGTTGCGCTTCACAGACTTTTGCCACAGATCCTGGCCCACATTATCCCTAAATGGCAGGGAAACATTTCCATTTTCTTCTGAGGAAGACATTTTTGTGTATTAACAAGGCATTCCGAGGTGCACACAAACAATGTAATGTGTGAACTGAGTGGCCAACAGCTGCAGTCACCGGCAGTTCCAGTAAAAGATGGGGGAAAGGGGGGGGGAGGTCCACCCAATCTGCTCTGTGGGCTAATCCTGCCAGAGCTTTGTGATCGTTTTATGGTTGCCATTTGTCATCACACAGAACGCTGTGTCCCGTTTGACTTCCCGGTGAGTAATTCACTACCTCTCCTATGACAACGGCTTAATATTTTTATAGCGCTAACAGTGTGGTATCATGCTGGAATTTCTGCCCACAAATCTAAATGTGGTGCTTCTTCCTGGTTGATACACCTCAGTGGGAATCCAAGCAGTCTGCTCTTCACGTTGGGGGTATGGGCGGGACAAGACTCAAGCCCATGGTGGGGCTCGAAATGGTGCCCTGGCAGATCTCAAATAGGGTACATCCTGTGAGTACCACTATTCAGCTCTGACCAAAAGAGGGAAGTGGTAAGGGGTCTTGCTGGGTCCAAGTAGTCTCAGCTTCTGTACACCTTGATATCAAACCCTTAATGTGTAATGGGACTTGGACGTGATATCACTTTTCACTATATCTTACACCAGTTACAGGAGCTGCGGTGGCTCAAGTGGTTAAGACGCTGAACTGCAGGCTGTGGAAGGTCGGTAGTTCATGCCGGCCACATGACCACGGAAATGTCTTCGGACAGCGCTGGCTCTTCGGCTTTGAAACAGAGATGAGCACCGCAACCCTTGAGTCAGATTCGACTGGCTTTCGAGCAAGGGAACCTTTACCTTTACACCAGTGACATCACAAAGCTGCCTTATACTGATTCAGACCATTGGTCCACAAAGGTCAGTGTTGTCTACTCAGACTGGCAGCCGCTCTTCAGGGTCTCAGCCAGAGGTCTTTCACATCACCCACTGCCTGATCCTTTTTAACGGGAGATGTTAGGGATTGAGCCAAGCAGAAGCTCTTCCACTGAGCCACAGCCCCCTGCATCATGGTCCCTCTTCTTTTTTGTTACCACAGATGTTCTTTCTCCTAAAGTGCAGGCCAAAGTTGCCTTTGTGCCCTTCCAAATCAAAGGAAGTTTTAAAAACACACACAGAGAGACGTCTTTATTTCACAAATGCATTGCAACACATACACTTTGCTTTCTGTTCTGGAGCCCTCAAGATATCTAGAACTTCATCTTGAGGTTTCAATTGGCCTTGTCCCTTGTCCCCAGTAAACGCCTCCCGCACCAGTTTTCCGAGACAGTTTCCTGCCTGAATCATTCCAGAGATTGTTAATGCAGCTGCTGTGTTGATGAATTGCCGCTAGGGATGATGAAGATTATTCTTGGGGAGGAGGAAGAAAGGTATGGCCAAAGCGTTAGGCAGGTGCATCAGGGAAAAAGTGCATGGGTCTGCTAGTGTGCAAATGAGCATTTTGAAATGCATTCACCTCCACCGCAGCCTCACCAACAGCCCCTTCCATGCAATTCGGCCCTTCCCTTAGGAAAATTCAGGGCCACAGCTATATAACCTATTTCAGGTCAGGATACGACCCGTCCTCTAAAGACCTGCCACTCCATGCATCTTGAAGAGCCAGTCTGGTGTAGTGGCAAGGAGCACGGACTCTAATCTGGAGAACCATAAGAACATAAGAGAAGCCAATGTTGGATCAGGCCAATGGCCCATCCAGTCCAACACTCTGTCATACAGTGGCCAAAAATACCAGGTGCCATCAAGAGGTCCAGCAGTGGGGCCAGAACACTAGAAGCCCTCCCACTGTTGTCTCCCCCAATCATCAATACAGTGCATCACTTGCCCCAGACTGAGAGTTCCTACCTATTAAAAGGTAAAGGTTCCCTTGCTTGAAAGCCAGTCAAATCCGACTCTAGGGTTGCGGTGCTCATCTCCGTTTCAAAGCTGAAGAGCCAGCGCTGTCCGAAGACGTTTCCGTGGTCATGTGGCCGGCATGACTAAACACCAAGGCGCACGGAATGCTGTTACCTTCCCACCAAAGTGGTACCTATTTATCTCCTTGCAATTTCTTGCTTTCGAACTGCTAGGTTGGCAGGGGCTGGAACTAGAGACGGGAGCTCACTCCATCATGCGGCACCCGGGTCTCGAACTGCTGAACTACCGACCTTCCACAGCCTGCAGTTCAGGGTCTTAACCACTTGAGCCACTGCAGCTCCTGTTCCTACCTATACCTTGTGGCTAATAGCCACTGATGGACCTCTGCTCCATATGTTTATCTAATTCCCTCTTGAGCCGGGTTTAATTCTCCACTCCTCCACATGCAGCTGCTGGTGTGACCTTGGGTCAGCCACGGTTCTCTCAGAGCTGTTCTCTCAGAGCTCTCTCAGCCCCACCTACCTCACAGGGTGTCTGCTGTGGGGAGGGGAAGGGAAAGGAGATAGTAAGCCGCTCTGAGACTCCAGGTGAAGGGCAGGGTATAAATCCAATCTCTTCTCTTCTTCTCTTCAAATGCCACCTTTGTGCTCAAGCATCGTGGGTGATTACAGGGAGGGAGGAAATGTAGAACCCGTTGTACATAAGCAACCTTTCACACATGCATACTGGTGACACCAGACTCTTAAGGTGCCCCCAGACCCGTGTCCTATTTTGTGAACGGGTGACGAGGGGGGGGAAAGCAATGCGGGGACGTGCTCAGCGTTTCAACCATCTGCTCTCCTGAAAATCCAGTCCTCCGTGGTGGGTTCCCCCCCCCTTCTTTTTTTGGCTGCCATGACCATTTTACAAACCTCATTGGAAGTGGGTGTAAATTACTATGGAACGAGCTCCCCTTTTGGCTGTGTGCAGCTTGAGGCTCTCTGGCAAGCGTGTTGTGGGTGACAACTTGTCTCACTGCTTGGGTGGTAGCGAAGACGCCTGACAACAGAATACTACTGGAATGACTCAGCTGGAGAGGAATTCAAAGGCGCGGGGTGTGTGGGGGGGGGTGGGGGTGGGGGAGAGAACTGTACTCGAGTGGCAGGAGGAGATCCGAGCCAGTGCTTTTCAGACGGGCTGTTTGTCAGTCTTTTCAAACCCTCCAATGGGCTGAAATGCTTTGACACTGGAAAGAAAGAAAGAAGAAGTGTACGGCCTTCAGATTCAAGCATACCAGGTCTTCGCCCTCACATCCTGTTTTCAGCGCAAGGGGGCTCGACCCCTGGAACGTGGGAAAACCTTTGCACAGAGGCGTCACAACTAAACTATGGGGAGAGTTGCACAATTGTGCCTGTCTCCTGAGATCGCAGCGCAGGGCTTGCTGTTGGGAAGGCAGGAGTCGGAAAAAGCCTGCTGCTCGGATCAGCAAGTCCCCGACCCTGTTGATGTATCCTGGATTATGAAGAATAATTGTTTGAATTATGGCCAGAAGGGAGCTGGGTGTGTGTGATATGCTTACTGTCCTAAGTACCGGGTCCTAGCAGCTAAACTGTTAGTCTGCTCACAGGAGACCAGGAAGGAAGTCCGGGGTCACTACAAAGAGAGAGAGAGAGAGAGATTGGATTTCTACCCCGCCCTTCACTACCTGAAGGAGTCTTAGAGCAGTTTACAATCTCCTTTC